CTTCCGGCACGGCCCCCCCGTAGCCATGGCTCCCTCAGGGGAGCGGGCGGTGTCTCTGCTGGAGGGAGGCGGTCAGGGCGGCTTCTGCCCGGGGAGCCGTTTCCCTCAGGGGCGGGCTGAGACGGGGTTTGACCGACATTTTATCCTGTGCCAGGGAGAAGAGACCACAGGTCCCTGTGGGTGCGTGTTCGCCATTTCCCATGGTGAGGCTAATCCCTGTGCCAGACTCACACCAAAAATGTGTTTCCTCTCGGGGTGATAGCGTCAGGGCTTGCTTACACACCTTAGGGGATTAGCATTTATTCTTGTCCAGTTAGTTTTGCTCAAATAGGAGGTTTCAGTTTCTCCCAGCTGAAGGTGGGCTGGAGCATAATCCCTGTCCCATAGAGATACAGGTGGCCCTGGCACATCAGGGTCCCTGCCCCAAACTGCACACAGAAAAGTTAAAAAGTTAATGTTATGATCACTTTACCCAACTGCATCTATCCCAAAATCTGGAGGCCAAAATAAGCCCACCCTGGGATGGTAAAAGGAGATGATTCAATTAGGATTTGTCTGACACCACTTGAGGCAGGCACCGATGAAACACTGGTGAAAACCTTAGTTCCTCCTTGCACCTTTTCTGTGTTACAGCTGCCAGCGAGGAGCACAAAGCAAAGAGGAAGTCTGTAGAAAGCTGACAGTGTCAGTGAAAGCACAGAGATGAAGTAAGTGTCCTCATTTTTGCTGGGTCTGTTGGGCAGCCAGGAGCAGAACACCACACCTCAGCTCCTCGCCTTCATCTTGCCACCTGCTCTGAATCATAGTTCTCAGTCTCTTAAAATAATTTTGCAAATCTGCATCTACCTTTTGGGGATTTTTAATCTTGTTAGAGTGAGCGCTTTTGAATTTTAATGAAGAACCTGATGTGGCATTGAGAATGTTTTACTGAGATAGAGACAAGACTAGATACTCAGCTTGAGCCAACCAAGAAGTGTTTGCTGTAGTTTACAACACTGCGTAAGAAGTTTCCATTGCATTCACAGTATAACACATTTAAACTACTCCTGAGTTGAGTAACAGGAGGTTGAAATCTGGCAAGTGATTTGAGTGGCGACATGATCAGAAAACACATCCTTGGGAGATATACTAAGACAAACAGTATGCTATCTTAGGATGCTAAACCTGGGTTTAAATTTCATTTTACTTCCTCCTCCCCAAGACAGGCCATCTTGAAAGCACAGTCATCTTTTATATTGTAGGATTCAACTGCAAACATAATAAATTATTGGTTTGACTCTCACTGTTTTTAAGGATGGCTAACCTTACTATCCTCAACATACAGCTTCCTGTAACTTAGAAGGAAGAGACAGGTACTTGATGAAATTGAAAACAGTTGCTGCTCATAAACATCATTATTCATTCCAGCTTAATCACAGTTTAATAGTCTATTGATCATGGTAAGGCAACTGTATTTAGCACAGGTCAGATGTGTCTGTTGCTGAAGCTGCTTATGAGGAACAGGTAGCTCCTCGTCATGAGGACAGCTGATATGAGCTTCATGGTTAGTTGCTGCTGGGAGAAACAGCTTCAGATATTTTAATATTTACCATAAACAAGAGATACATGGTTTTATTCTCATCTACTAAGAAAACAAGATTGTCATTCCTTCACATTCTATTCTTCTATGATGTGTCTTCTAAATACAATTTATAATCTTGGGCAGTTTAGAAGTCACATCTACCAAATTAACTAATGTATTTATACCCTATATCATAGCATAGATACTTACTGGTGCAGAGCATAACCCGGTTTCTGTACAACTATTCACTTTTCTATATGTTAAAAGCAGTTGAAAAAAAAAAAAGTCTCAAACTCCACTGCTTTACACTGTGGCATTAAGATCACCAAACTCTGTGAAGCTTTTTAAGGATTTGATCCTGCGAGGTTTTGAAAATGTAAAGTTTTTTATAGAGCTGCTAAACTGAACAGAATGAGTCATTTCTTGTGGGTTGAACAGAACAACCCAAGGAAAGTTTTTATGGCTTAGGCTTTCGGAAATGATGGGCTGTTTGGGTGCAAAGCTAAAGAGAAGCAACCTTGACCTACAACACTTGTTTCCCTTCTGAATCATTCACAGAATCTGCATCCAGTTTTACAGACACATGCTATTTCTTATTGAGTATAAATTTGAGTAAAACTTCAGCATTTAAAAAAACCCAGACACATGCTATTTCTTATTGAGTATAAATCTAAGTAAAACTTCAGCATTTAATTTAAAAAAACAAAACAAACCACTTTTCTGCTCTAGGGGGTTAAAGAAAACCCATCAAAATATCAAAACCCATCTCCTCTCAGGGGCAGTGAGATGGTTTGTTTTGGAAACTGCAGACAGAAAGGCAAAAACTACCTGTGCAAAAGGAAACATAAACCATAAACCTTATTCCCAGCACTTAGCAAGTGTGGCCAAAATCTTCTTTTCTGGACCATTCCAGAAACAAGAGTTTCTCCTTGGCCATGTCCCAGCTAGAGATGGTGGTTTATGTAAGGGAGGCATGTCTCACAGGCAGCAAGCTGGAGAGAACAACACAGCCAGAATTACAATCTCTCTGTTGTTCTCATGTTTTTCCCAAATTGTTACATTTCTGGACCATCTGGGAGATTTCAGCTCTGCTCACTCTTGTTCCTGAACTGAGAAATTTCTGTGTACAGGGAACACCACGATCAGAAATCTGGCAATTGGCCTACTGAAGGAGTTAAAGTGATACAGAATCTGTGTGGAAAGAGAAATAGAAACCTCACCTAGGTCTGTTTTCAACTCTGAAAAGTTAAAAAAGAAAAAAAAAGGTGAGAATTAAGATTACATGTGGTTTGCATCCTTTGCTTTATGCCTTCCTCATTTATGATCAGCTCACTGAGGACGGGTTGAATCTCTTGGTTACCTTTATTACACACATATCTATGGTATTGTCAGAACTGTTATAGTAGATCTTGTAATAAAACAAGCATGACCAAGATGTGAGCCACCCATGAAGAGAGATCTGCCACAAACAGACCTAATCTGTGCTTGATTTATTTTATTTTTTCAAAGCCTTCCAGACAGACACAGTGATGCCTCATTTAATTTTACAGTCTTTAGAGGCTTCTTACATTTGCATTGGTTTTTTCCTACCTTTCCCAGCTGAAGTAGTTGTGTAGAGCCATCCAAATAGTCCCAATCTTTTGAATTCTTTTCTCTAATTAACTGCAGCTATGGATGTTTTAACAGGTCTGTTTGGAGTAATTGTTTAAAAGTGCATTTAGCCATTGATACAAATATCAAAGCCTTTAAGGTGGGAGTCAAGATACAGATGAAAATACAGGTTGTGTATATTACTGGATTATCATAATTTATAACACCCATTTCCAAGAAAATATTTTGAAGGCCACAGTTCTCTGGTAAAAATCCAAACTAAATTCAGTTAAATGAAAGGATTTACTGCTGATTTACACTGTTGTAAACTTGATTTAGAGACAAAACATTTGTCAATGTTTCATTTTAAAATTCCCTTTAAGTATCCTGGGGAGGAGAAACTTCTCACATACGGGTTGCAAAATTAGAAGAAAGTATGAAAACTAATTCAGGTGGTTGTCAAGTAAAAATATAGAGTAGAATGACTCAGCTTCAGTGAATTTCAGTTTTTATGGTTTTAAAAAGAAAAAAGAAAAGACTTGTTGAATAAAGCACTTTGATTTGTTTACACAGGGACTTTCAAACAAGCTTCACCCAGCTCTGAAGTAAAACAGGGAGGACAGGATGGTGGGAACAGCTGAGAAATCCCACCCACTTGAAGGAGATATGTTTTTATCCCAAGTTGAGCAAGGATGCTTTCCATAGCAACACATTCTGAATTAGAAAAAAAATAAGTAAAATTACTGAAACTCAATAAAGAACCATTTAAACTTTAAAGAACCGTGGCTCTGCTTCAGCCACTTGGATGGAATATTACAGGGGAAATCCAAGATAGGTTGATTTCTTTGAAGCTTTTTAATATGAATCAAGATTTTTGGAGGATAACGGTGATGGTTGGCTGAGGTCCATCGTGACAAGGTGTTGAAAGTTCTGCAGAATTGAAGTCAGATTTGGACTGTGATGTAGGCCAGTGTATTGATAAACAGGCCAGTGTTTTTTAATCAAGCGGATGGAACTGACAGTACTCAAAGCTAAACAGGAAAGCAGCAGCAGATTGTGAAATGCTGAGCTTTTCTCTGCTTCCAGAGTGTTTGGCTGAGATAGGAGCCTGGATGAGAAGGCAGTGGCTGAGGCTAAATCCAGATAAGGAAGAGGTAATTCCAGTTGGCAAGGTAAAGCAAACAGAGGCTTTATCTTTTCTGTATAAAAACATTTGCTAAAATTATGCATGCAGGCTTAGTAACTCAGCATGGAAAGAGGTTAGAAGATATCTCATGGACAATTTGTGTAGTTACTGCAGTTGTATCTGCAGTCCTGGAGATGGCACACCTGGATTGTGTCTCCTTGTTCTACTTGTACAATACTTTAAAAAAAACTTGGAAGGATTCTGCTTTTATTGTAACTTCTTCTAAAAGGATAAGAAAGAAAAAAAAAGTCATTCAGGCCTGCTCTGGCAATAATTACTAGGGTGAGGGTATACTCAATAGCCTTAAAATCCCTGTGAAGAGCATTTCCAGCACCTCCCTCTGTGGTGTTTTAAAAGGTGTCTGAAACCACAACCTCCATGTATTGTTACAAGTACCACAGAACTTAGAACAGACATCCACTGTGGTAGTCCACCTGACTAGGAATTTTGACATATATGCCATGATTCTCAGCAATATTCCTACAGTTCTTTTCCCAGTGAAGTGCAGAAAAATACTTTAATCCTTGGCAGGGACACAGGAGGAATTCAGAAAAGGCACTGGAAGCGTCAGCCTTTGAATTGTTTAAACCTGTGTCTTCACAGCAAATGTCTGAGTTAACTGCCAAGTGAAAGCATCAGCAGCACCCAGCTTGGTGAGAGACTGCTCCGTGTGTGGGAAGGGTGAGGGAGGAAAGAGAGGAAGTTTGGGGAAAAATGATGAACTTTACATTGAAGGCATTACCTGAAAGCTCAGTAGACTAATTTTACCATGACTTTGATCAAGTTTTTGTCACAGAGGGCACTCTTTGTACCATCAGCTGCAAACAGCAAAATTTAATTGACTGTGCTTTTTGCTTTGCATGTGTGTTGTGCTCAGGGTCTCGTCACCAGACGGAGGAACCCACAGCCTGGCTTATTTAGAGCGAGTATCTATTCACTGGCAGCTGAAACCAGCCATTCCAAAGATAGTGTTTTCCTGAATCAGTTTGTTTTGGCATTTCCTGCATGAATGTCATGGAGTAGAGAAAGATTTAAGTAATAAATAGCATCTGTCTTCAATTGCAAAGAGGAATGTGAGTAAAAAGAGATAGAGAGTAATTGTAGTTAATTTAATCAGTCGTGGTCTTATGATGGAACAGCCTGGAATAGACAGTGCAAACATGGTATCTTTATAAGAACTGCTCTGAATTATTTCTGATGTTCTGAGTGACAGGGAAGCCTGTATGCTATATATTACATAAAGCTTCCATGTCTAGGAATATATACAATGCAGTGGACATTGAACTTGGTGGCTAATCCACCAGTTTTTCTGAAATACTAGTCAGTGTCAAAAACTATTTTGGCATCGTCTTCAAAAATGCATTTACAAGTGTAGAGCTATTAAGCACTGCGAGTTACTGAGTATTTCTTCGAGCTTTCAATATAAACAAGGCCTTGTGCTTGTCTCTATTCTGCTTTGGTTTATATCTGTCACCAAATGAGCTGTTTTCTCAGCAGTTAAGTAAATACCAAATTTGTCATTTGATAACATAAATAGAAGGAAATCACATCTCAGTATTCAAGGAGGGATCTGGGTGTTCTCTGGGAAAAGTTTGTAAGCTGAATACATTTACAGAGGAAAAAAATAGGGAACAAAAGGATTTCCTAGATATAAAAAATTACTCTTTACTGTTGCTCCAGCTGACGTTATCTACGCACAAGCAACTAGACACACAATCTCTGGCTGGCCTCATCTTATCTGTAGGCAAGTTAATCAGTATTTTAAATAACTAGATCTTTGACATCTTCTAGTAGTATCCTGCATCTCAGGAAGGCATTCATTGTAGTTCTCCTTTACACCACATTTGGAGGGTTTGTACCTCTATTAGGCCTCATTTTCAAAATTAAACATTTTACTATTAAATTCAAAGTCACTCAGAATCAACTTGCACTAAATGTGCTTCGAATTACACTTATAAATACAGTTTTCATTGAAAACGGTTTAAACCTTGCATGACAAAATTAAAAATTACTTGACGTTTAGTCTGTTTGTTCTTCATCGTAGTTAGGAGTGAAAATCACAAACAACCCAGTAACACTGACACAGCAGAAATAATAAAGAACAGTGTCTTAATCTGCACGTGGAGATAAATCATGCAATTCAATATGGTATTTCTAGCTCTAGTTTCTCTAATTTTAGTCACTCTTTTTTCTTTAATCTTTGAATCACATCCTCAAATTTCCCATTTTGGTTAGCTGACAAATAAGAGCAGCAACACTTAACTAGTACACTTGCAGTCTCTGTCCCTCTGCATCTCTCTTAGGGAGGTATCCAGTTCTACTTGGATAAAATCAAATACACTTACATGCATCATTCCTGTTTTTAGGAGTGCAGGCGGCCAGGCTGCAGAGTTGTGCTGGTGGACTCCAGATAGTTTTCAGCTGCTTGTATAAATGTGCCAGGGTATTTGCCTTCACACTATTCATTGCTATCACCTTGGTGCTTAAAATCTTCAGTTCATCAAACAGCCAGAGCTTCCCAGAATCTAGTGACCTATCAACAGAAAGTAGAGTAAAAAGATTCCATGGACACACAGCTTCAAGATAACTGAGGGGTCTCCAGACCTATTTATAAAAAATTTTGAGAGCACCCTTTCCTGGTTGGAGAGGTGGAGCTAACCAAATAGTTAATTTTCAACTTATCCCTGGACTGGCTTCTTCATTGGCTCTGCATTTGGTTGGAACCTGGCTAGTTGATGATTATTCTACATGTCCTTTCCAGTTTCTTTCTCATCTGGCTGGAAGCACACCAAAGGGTTTCAGAAACTGCTCTTTTGTATGCAAGGAGAGGTTTCTTATCATTTCTTCATGCATACCATGCTTTGAATTTGAATAGTTGTATATTTGAATAGTGATAGCTAAGCATTGCTGTTATTAACAGCTGTAATTCTGAGGACTGGTGACTCCTAAACTGAGGAATTCAGAGAAGTCTAGTAGATATACAAGGCTTGCCCAGGAGATCTGGAAAGGCAGCAGCCTCCTGCAGAGGAATGTTTTAGCTCTGGGATGTAATACAGCATCATTGCAGCCTCAACACGAGGAATTTGTTTTTCTGAACTATCAAATGCCTCATAAGAAGGATAATTTTATATAGACTAGAAACAAACATAAGGAACCATCATTACTTCTCCCACTCACACAACACTTTGACCCAGCTGAAGTGCTGTGGTTTGTTTTTTTTCTTTCACTGAGGAGAACAGATTGAGATGTTTTCCTGACCCGTGTTTCTTAGAGATAAAAGCATTAAGAATGTCACTCTCTTACTATTTTCACATGCAGTTCCAATAAGTTTGTTACCTTATGTGAAAGATCCATCTAAAACCTCCATCCTTTAATTTTCTTTGGGATGTTTGCTCTTCCTCCCATAGCTGCAATCCATGGAAATGCCACAGACACTAGTAACTCCTGAGTTAGAGCTGTAGTTTTTCAGGCCAAGCACAGAAACATTCATTTTCTGATCACTTCTCATAATATTACAGATTATAATAAACCAAATGGGAATGAAGATAGAGAACGATTAGGAAAGGGTGCCCAGGCACATCAGGGAGCAGCACAGGCTGGCTGCTCTCCAAGGAAAGGGGAGTTTGGAGCCAAGGATGAGTCCAGCCCAGGCAGTGTCCTCACCAGGGGAAAGCCACCCTACAGAGGCTGAGCGCAGCAGGTAGAGCTGGCTGCTGGTAAAAGGCTCCATTGTGACAATCCCAAACACAGCGAGTGACAAACCAGGTCCAAAGTCCAACCAGAGAGTTCAGACAGGAGCAAAAAGAGACAGAACCAAAGACAAGCAACAACAAGGGTCCAAAGTCCTCCCTAGAGACAGAGCCAGAAACAAACCTGAAGGCAAATGTCCTAAAAACAGAGCTGCTGGGCCCAGGCCTGAGCTTAAATGGGCCCCTGGCACATGGGCAGGGCTGGGGGTGGAGGCTGCAGGTGAGGCTTGTCAGGGTCATTACAACTTGTTAGTGGCCTCAGGGTCATGACAGCACAAAAGGATTGTGGGACCTTTAATAATTCTCTTGTAAGTATTTACAAAATCCATGTGGTTATTTTCCTCCGTTAAGTACCTAGGAGGGCATATTTTGAAAGTAACAATCTAGCAACAGCAGAGCAAGCAGAAATGATGAGACTATTAACATTCTGACAATTAAAAATTTGCCATTAAAAATCACTCCTTTCTTACTCCATTTATTTATCTGTGAAATATTTTTCAATAGTTGTTTGTTTTTACTTAACAAATTTTAATGTTTTGAATTAAAAATGTATTTGCTTGCTGATATTTTCATTAAACATATGCATGTCTGTCATCTCTTATCACACAGGGTATAAGTGCAAGGCTTAGGCTCAGGGAATCCTCTTTCATGTCCTAAAGTGGCAAGTTTATCTGTGCTATTTACTACTCTAAAACCTACTATTTAGGAGAGCCTTTCTTAACACTTGCCATTTATTACCTCAGCTGCTGCTTCAGAGTATCTAAGAGCAAGTCATTGTCAGCTTGGGCTTCTGCCTGAAGAACTGCAAAACCAAACTTGTAGTGTTGCTCATAATTGTGGGTAATTCCATCCGTGGAGTGTGACTGTTTACGGTGGAAATGTGCTTGCTTTGTCTTCACAGAAACTGGAGAAGTAAAAATCTAGAGATTTCTTGCTGTCACTAACCCATCTGACTTTTGCTACAAGTACCTCTGGACTGGATGGAGAGGATCAATATTTGGTTTTTTCCTGATGCTTACTAGAGGGTTGCCAGTACTTATATTCTGGTTAGCTTCATCTGAAAAAATGGGGTTATATGGCAAATAATTTTAAACATGTGTCTAAACAGATGTAGGTCCAGAACTAGGAGATGGTCAAATTCTGCTTAGTTTAATGGCATTGATGATACATTGATGCTGTGTATCATTTTGTATCTGGAGTTCTGAAAAAACCCCAAAAAACCCCCAAAAAGACACACACAAAAAAAAGAGTGAAGACTACAGAATGAAAAGGCATTTCTCAGGAAACTCTCAGTCTAAAGAAAAGGATAAAATCCTCTACAAGTAGTAAGTGTGATGAGCTGCCTTACAAGCTTTTGATAATCCTAGTGGATTAAAAAAAGGCTGATGATGATAACGGTACCTGACCAAGTAAACAGAGTCTGTGGCAAACCAAGCTAGCAAATACTGGGCAAAGGTATCAGCTGTGTAACGGAGGTAAAAGGGCAGCAGAAAGAGCTGTGAGCGTGATCCTGGGAAGATCCCAGCTGGGCAAAGTGCAAATACAGAGCTTGTTCGAATGGCAGATTTCTGAGAAGGGAAATAGCCTCCTATCATTATTTCTTTTTTCCCTGTGATTTATACAGAGATGGAACAGTATGTAAATAAATAAGAGAACACTGAGATCATGCCTGACCCTTCTCACCTTATTTCTCAGACTCAGGCAAAAATGACCTTACAAGACCATGAACTTTGACCAGCTGGATGACCAAATGTGTCACGATGTTTTTCTCCCTGCTGTGAGAATTCAAAGCCTTTCCTTCCATCATTCCTGAAAATGAGGAGTATCTTCATTGAATGAAATGGAATTTATTCAGCATAAACCAGTGAGATAATGCAGAAGTGAGATCAGAGTCAGAACAGAAAGTGTCTGTTTCTTGCCCTAAGTCATAGCTAGCTGAAGAAGGTTCAGGAGCAAAACCCACTTGATCTTGACCTGGTTTTTGTAATAAAATTAAAGAACAATTCTGATAAAACTGAAAATGGACATGGTGTCTGAAAAGTTATGAGGAAGTAGGTACTTGGAAGAGGAAAACTAACAGCAGATTTCAACAGCAGGTCAGTTTTCTGTTGATAAAAGGAGAAATGCTACAGCAGGTTTCCAAATAACATTAATATTACCTCTGTTTACAAAAAGTATTTTATGTAACTTTTAATTAAGCATCACTGTGTCACAAGACAGCGCGTGCTATGTTCTCAAGGATGGGTTTGTGTCCCTCTCCTGTTAAGGAGAGTTAGCCTACAGAAAATGAATAAAGTAACTGAACTCAAACAGAAACTGAATAAACAGGGGAACTTCACGAACTCTTTTTGTTTTTAATAGCATAGGATGTGATCAAGGATTTTATCCATAGGAAAGAAAATTATTCCTACAGAGTTCTTATGGCAAATATTCTGCAGTTACTTCTGTGCCCCGATCACATCTTCTGTGATCTTCATGTCTTTGTTTCTATATTCTCCTGCTCAGCAGTGAGTATAATTATGAATGCCTGTCACTTGTTTAAACAAATGCTTTGTTTGGCAACCTTTGTTTTCCTGCTGCTGATGCAGCTGCAAAATTGTGTGCACAGTGTGTTAATTTTTTACCTTTGATGCTATGGTAAGTTTTTTTTCCTAACAAAAAAAAAAGGAAACCAATGAATGAGATACCAATCTCTCTTGATCCACACAAAACATGTGAAAGCAGCAACTTCCTTAGGAAACAATAGTAAATGGATGCTGATACAACAGTAAAATAAGCTAGATATTTCCTGGAACCAAATGAGTCTCCATAATACAACAGAGAAAAGTTAGCACATACATAAAATGTAAGACAGAGAGAGAGAGACTAAAAAAAAGAGGATGAAAAAGGTGAGGAAATAAAACAAGAAAATAATATCTTGTTACTTTATTTGGGACAACAGACTAACAGGGCAATAGGATGTATTTTCTTCTCTAAAATTAAAAAATGAAATTTATGTATTAGCAACCTGAAGTTCTTCATTTTTTATGGGGGAAGGAAAAGAAGAATAGATTTGATGTAGGCACTTGAGCAAGTGATTATAGTTTAAATCAGAATTTAACTTACAGTGTATCAGCTTCTTCCTGGTGCTTGCTCGTGGGCAGTCTCTTATCCCATGGTAAAGTGAAGTTTTCATTCCCTAGAGGGGGACTTACACTGAATTTCATTACATTATTGCAGAAATAATCAGGTGAGCTGTCCTGGTTTTGCCAGGATACAGTTAATTTTCTTCTTAGTAGTTAGAATAACTGTGTTTTGGTTTCAGTGAGCACATTTTTGAAAGCTCATAAAGTTTAGGAAGATTGTGAAGCACAGGAAACAATTATCCTTGGGTAAGTCATTCATGTGTTAGTGCTGTAAATTAAAAGCTAAAAGCCAAATTTTGGTTCTTCAGATTTAAGCACAAAGGAGATCTCCACTGTTAGGTTGTGAACAGAAAGATCCTCTTTCTTCTGCTGTTTACCAGTGTTTTGTGTCATACTTCATGCTGTGTGAAGAGTGTGTCACATCTGGCTGTGCCAGTCTCAAGGGGAACAAGGGAGAGGCTGTGATAGCAGAGTCTCTTCATGATTTATCGCTGTAATTGAATATTTAAAAGGAACCACCCCCTGCTTTGGAAGAAATTATAGGGGGGAAAAAATATCTAAAATCATATATCTGATAAAGAAGGGAAAAACT